GCAAAAGGAATGAACCACAACTGAATATCTTCCCACACTGCTGACATTCAAAAGATTTCTGTCCAGTACGAATGTTCTGGTGCCGAGTGAGCTGTGCCAGAACAGTGAAGGCTTTCCCACATTCCTTACACTGAAAACGTCTCTTACCAGAATGAATCTTCTGATGTTGGGAGAAATTTGAGCGACGTTTAAAGGCTTTCCCACACTCATTACATTCATATGGCTTCACACCGGCATGGATGATCCTATGTTCAACAAGGTGGGAGACTCGCTTGAAGGACTTCCCACATTCTTCACATTCAAAAGGTCTCTCACCACTGTGAGATTTCTGATGTTTTATAAGCAGATAGGGGAGTCTGAAGGCTTTTCCACATTCCTCACATTCAAAAGGTCTCTCATCACTGTGAGACTTCTGATGTCTTCTAAGGTGTTGGTGGAGTCTGAAGGCTTTCCCACACTCCTTACATTTATAGTGTTTCTCTCCAGTATGAATACTCTGATGCTTAGTAAGAGCTGAACTACAACCAAAGTACTTCCCACACTCTTTACACCCATATGCTTTTTCTATACGGCGAGTCCAACTCTGGCAGGTGTAAGTAGGCAGTTTTTCCTTGTTAGTAAACTTTTGGTCACCATCTCCATCTTGATAGCCCTGTGGTCTCTTGAGTGTACTAGAGTTGGGACCATTACTAAAACTGGAGCCCTGGACGTCAGAAGTTTTCCTTATATACTTTATGTTCTCATTGAGTGAATTTACATTATAAATAGGATTGCCTGGAGATATTTTTTGAGCTTCATAATCAGACTCCAAATCTGAAGGAAAAGGAGAAAGCAAGACTATTTTATTTTGTGTACACAGACACATACACACACACACACACACACACACACACACACACAGTCCATTAAATGAATGTCCAGATTCTAAAGTATTTTCTGAGAAGCTGAACAGGAGCATGGACAGCAACAACAATGAAAGTTTATGGAAGACAATACTCTACAGTAGAACAGGTTGGAAATGGGAAGGCATTTTTGCTTAAAGAGATTAACACAAACTGTGCTGAAAAAAAATCTTATGTGCTTTTTTACATATTACTTGAAACATATCCTATGGTGAAAGCGTTTTCAACCAAATCATGAGAAAAAAAATCTATACCACACAGATACATAATTTATCCCTCATTCAAAAAAGAAAAAAAAAAGGCCTGGTGTGCACACCTTAATTCCAGCACTCAGGAGGCAGAGGCAGGAAGATCTCAATGTTAAGATGGAAGCTTCACCTCAGCTGCCAGTCCCCAGTTTCTCTCAGAATCAGAAAACCCACCAAAAGGAGGCTCTATCCCGATAGACGCTCCAGACCATACCTACAGGATAGTTAAGCTGCCTCCAAGAGACCAGCCACATGGTTTTTTGATCTCTTACCCCGTCTCCTCTCTGGGGGCCAAAAAATCATTCAGGAGCATTTTACTCATTAAACCTGGACCTTTCACTCTTAATTTGGTTTGGTCCAGTTTGGTTTGGATTACTGCATCAGCGGAGAGTCTTCATATTGGGGTACAGAAACCTTTCATCTAAGTTTGAGGACAGCCTGGTCTCCAGAGTGAGTTCCAGAACAGCCAGAGTTGCACTGAGAAATCCTGTCTCTAAAACCAAAAGAGCAAAAGAAAAACAAAAGAAAAGAAAACTGGCCTGGATGTGAAATTCTGAAAAACAAAAGGTGGGGGGGGGGGGACACAAAATCTTTGGTAGTGGTGGTACAAAAATGTAATCCCAGAAACAAGGAGTCAGAGGTAACAACTTCACGACTTCTAGGAAAGACGGGACTAGCCAGTGAGACCCTGTATTCAAAAAAAAAATAAAAATAAAAATAAAAAATCGAGAGCCAGCTAGAAATGAAAACAGAAAAAACAAGGGGAGGGGAGAGGATGCATTAGAATTTTAAAGAAAACTAAGGATCGCTGGCCAGGGAAATAGGTATGACAGCTGCAGAATTACCTACTCCAAATCCTCCAAATCCAGGCGCCAATCTCAAGTCTAGAACTGCAACAGACCACCTGCTGCAGCCTGCCCTTCATCCCCGCCCCCTCTCCAGCTGGTCACTTTCTACTTCAAATGACTTAAGAAAACTCTCACAGGTACAGCCAGCTGCTTGGGTTTTACTTTAGTTTCAGATGTAGTCTCATTGACAACCAAGAAGAGATCACAGCCCGTGTCAAGCTCGGTAGAAGGAGGTAGAAGGATGTCCCATTGGCTTGTCCATCTACTCTTTTTGAGTCACGGTCTCTCTTTTGCCTGGAGCTTGACAGGTAAACTAGGCTGAGCTGGGTGTTAGCAACACAAGAGATTGCTCCTTCCACCTCCCCAGTGCTGCAGTGAGAAGTGTAGGCTACGCCATCACACCTTGGTTACAGTGACTCTGAGACACAGAATAAAATACTCGCTACGTCTCACTGTGTTACTGCGTTCCTGGTGCATTCCTGGTGTTCAAAGTGTTTGATCATTGGATCAGCTTTAAGAGCACTGACTGCTCTTCTAGAGGACCTGGGCTCCAGTACCAGCAGCTACCAGGGGATCTGACACTCTTATGGCCTCCTTGGGTACCTGCACACATGTGCACACACACAATGATAAAATACATTTAACATGACAGAAAGAGGGTGACTGCTCCAGTGAGAGAGAGGACGATGGGAACAACTTAGTGACCCATGAACTAGAAGCCCCTGTGACAGCTTCTGCTATGACCTTGACTTCTGCCCAGGTCTCAGCCATGTTCTTCCACAGGCCTTGGCGCTCTGAAGGAAGTGTGTCAACCCAGTGTCAGGCATGACGTGACTCTCCAACCACATGCTGTGTCTGGCAATGCTGGAGCCCTGCCTTCCTCTTACTCACCTGAGCCGGACCTGTCTGTTTCTTCCTTCACAACCATCCAGGGCTCTCTCTCCTGCTCTAACAAGGCGATCAGTTTGGGTTTGGATATGGAACTTCCCACTTAAAACAAAGAGCAAAAAAGGACACATGTATAGACTTTTCTTTGTAACACTTGACCACTTTAATTATCACAGAATTTTCTAGAAATTGATAAGTAGACCAGACTGGCCTTGAACTTACTTTATCTGCCTGCCTCTTCCACCCAACTGCTGGGATTAATGGTGTGTGCCACTCAGAACTGCTGGTGCAGATTTTTAAAATACAGATGTATTTTTTATAAAGGTCTAAACCGCTTGGCATGAAGGATCCTGCCCAGCAAGTAGAGGAATGACCCAGGGCTGTCTGTGATGCACAGCAAGACCCTTACCTCAGAACAAAGGGGGGATTGCTAATCTCACTTAAATGCAGATGGGGGCTTGTCACATTAGAGGAAAGTGTCCATACTGGGTGAGCACATGAACACACAGGCTACACTGTCTAGTGTAAACCCCATCTCTGCAGCTCACTAATAATGTCATTCACGTAGGCAAGTCCCTCGAGATTCCATGCTCACTTTTTAATCTAAAAACTGGAAATGGTGGCACACACATAACCATAACACCTGAGGGGTGCAAACAGGCAGATGAGAAATGCAAGGCTGGCATTAGTTTCATGGCAAGTTCACCGCAAGCCTGAGCTCCATGAGACCTGGCTACACACACACTCACACACACACTCACACACACACACACACACACACACTCACACACACACACTCACACACACACTCACACACACACACACACACTCACACACACACTCACACACACACTCACACACACACTCACACACACAAATTTAATAATAACAACACTAATTTAGATTGAGTTGATAATATCTATTAGATAGCGTTCGTACTAAAATGAAACAACATACTTCATTCAAATACTTGGAATAAATACTGTGTGACCTATACAAACACAAAATGATTGTTTTTTAATTTCCAGTTTTCTATGTAGCAATGTTGGGGATGGGACTAGGGTTTGAACATGCCAGGCTAGTGCTCTACTGTTCAGTTACATCCCTTGGCTTCGTTCCCACTTATGCCTTATTCTTGCAGATTTGCTCAATGAAAAGGACAAAGTTACAGTCTGAAACTTCCCTGCAAAGCAGGTAAAGGAAGTGTGCATTGAGGGAAATAGAATGTGTCCGGTTCTGTTTTGAATCGATCCTATTGATTCAGTACTAAGTGAAAAATAAGGCTCTTTCATTTAGTTGTGTAGGCATGCATGCAGAGTGTATGTATGTTTCTAGGAGGGAGTATGCACGAGTGTGTGTAGGCATGTGTGCATGTGTGTGTGTGTGTGTGTGTGTGTGCAGGCCAGAGATCAGTGTGAAATGACCTTTTCAATGCTTCCCACTTTGGTTTTTGAGACAGGGACTCTCTCTGAACCCAGAGCTCACTGAGAGGATCTCCAAGGTGTAGACAATAGGCAGGCGCTTCATAAAGTTCCTGTTTTCAAACAAGAAAACCCCACATTCTGCCTTTGGGAAGAAGGAAGATCTCAGCTAACTCTTAAAAATTCTATGGGTTTTAATTTATTTTATTTTATGCCCATGTGTCTGTCTACACGTACGACTAAGTACCACAGGCATGCCTGATTCCTATGGAGGAGTGCATCAGGTCTGTCACAACTGGAGTTACAGATGGCTGTGAGCTAACTTATTAGTCCAGTGCCTCTGCAAGGGCAGCCAGTTCTCTTAAACAACAGTCTCTGTAGACCTTAATTCTATCTACTGATTTGTTTCTTTGTTTATTATATCACTTAGCTTGTTTATTTATTTTGTTTTGTTTTAAACAGGCCTTCACCCTGCAGAGTAGGCTACCTTGGAACTCACAATGTACCTCAAGGTGACTGTGAACTGACAATCATCCTCCTGCCTCAGCCTTCTGAGTGAAGGAATGACAGGCATGGGCCACCAAGCCCAGCGTCAGCTACCACGGGAGAGATGGCCCTGTCTTTCCATTCAGAGTCAGGAAAGACAACAGTGTGGGGGACACATCCCCCACTCATGGGGACAGATGGCCTTACCCACTGTGACGAGGTTGCTGTAGGTCTCCAGCATCATGTCCCTGTATAAGACCCTCTGAGTAGCATCCAGGCAGGCCCACTCCTCCTGAGAGAAGTCGACAGCCACATCCCTAAATGTCACTGAGCCCTGAAACCACAAACACAGTGGAGTGAAATTGGGGAAGAGTTCAAGATGGAGACACAGAAGGGAAAGGACTCAAGAGCGGGAAAGGAGCCATGGAAATGCTCAAGGCGCCTGACTGCATGAGCTCCCCAGTAAAGGATGATGGTCCCCACCCTACACATCCAATAACTGTGCATTTCCATTCCATTCACATCCTTCAAGTTATCACCTCAAGAGAACTGTCACCAGCATTCAGTGTAAAATACCTAAGAAGCAGTGTGAGTGTTTGAGTTTATTATAGCATCAGATGATGTCATAAAGACTTGTCACAAGAATAATTTTTGTAAACTATGTAAGAGTCATTATTATTGGCACATTAGGTTCAACCTTTTTTGCCCTCTTCAAAAACAACAAACAAACAAAAAACTAGATGGCATGTGTCTCGGGTCTTCCTGAACTCTGAAGATTGCCGTCCCTTCCAGTCACAACCTGGAAGACCTGTCCCCCTCATCACGGAACTCTCTCTCAAGGACTCTCAAGCTGGTCATCTCCTCACACACATGCACCCAGGCCATTCACTCTCAAACCCCGAGTCATCAGCCTGAAAACAAAGACAGCAATCGGGATCCCATGCAGTCAAAGGACACCATCACCTCAACGTTCTGAAACCCCAAACACCCTGCTTCCCTGGGGGACCGTGGCATCCATGGCAAGGACAGTCCTCCCTGACCACAGACCAAGCAGAGAGCAGATGTGCAGGAATGCATTCAGAGAAAACTCCAGAAGCAGCAGGAAAGAGACACACACAGGAAGTGCTCTGACCTTCCAGCCCTCACTGTGATGGACGGGGCAGCCTGGGCTGGGGATTTCCGGTCCTGGGGAAGCTTCACGAGAGACAGCAAAGACTCACCCAACCTGAAAGTCACCCACGGAAAGAGAGGACACAACTTACACACACCGTGTCTTGAGGACCAGAGCTGGCCATTCTCCTTCAGGATCCTCCCCTGGGGACGAAAGAGAGCCTTTTCATTGGATTGTCACTGATGTCCCCAGACTGACTCAGGTCAGCATGGTCACTGACTACTGTTATTTCTCAAGCATCCACACTCACACGCTCCTCTCCCACTGCTCACAGCCTCCACACACAATTAGAAGCAGACAGGGCTCCACACAAAGCCCTTCCTGTCCTGACCCCAGACAAGCCACTGGCAAGGGCTCACAGTGGACGTGCAGAGCATAAGCACATCTGCCTTGAAGTTCCTCCAGAAGATGCCAGCAGAAGGGATCCCATCTTCCATCTGAGATGCAGCTTGGCCTAGACTGTACACTGGAATCCCACCCTCAGGGATGACAGGGGTCACAGCAACTGAACTGTAACTCCTGTGAACCCTCAGGGCTGAGCGAGACACAGCAGGACTGGAGAGTCAGGAGGGTCTGCAGCTGCAGTCCTCAGGCAGTGGTCAGCATCCTGTACCCACGTTTAGTAAATGGAATCATACACTGTGGAACACTTTCCTGACTACCCTCACTCATCTATGGGTATTGCTCAAGTTGTATCAATTAACAATGAATCTTGATGAGGAAAATTAGCTGCAAACCTGGTGTTGCCATAGGTGAGTATGACTTGGTTCACTCTTTCATTCTATGCACTATTTTCACAAAACATTCTGAACTTTTCTCAGGTGTCCTAAGACTTTTGTTTCTAGAACTGGCTTTCTCAACCTCAGTACGTTGACATAATTATCCTGTGTTGTGGTGTGCGAGACTATCTACAACATTCAGCAGCATCCAACATGCACTAAAGCTCTAGTAGCAAACACACACTCAGCTCCCTGAGACACCGTCCTGGGGAGCAGCCATCACCAAATAAGGAACCCAACAGTTCTAAGCAAAGCCTTGGTTCTATACACTTTGAAACTGCTTGTTTGCTTTGGAGGCAGAGTTTACTTATACCAGAATTCCCTGAACTCCTAACCCTGCTTCTTCCATTTCCCAGGCTAGATCACAGGCATGCACCACCATGCCCATCTGATAATCTCACTCAAAATCAAAGAGATTCTGGTCTATGTCGGTTCCAGGCTAGCTTTTCCAATCAGTGGTGCTGGCCAGTTTTAATTTGCAGTAGATAGAAAGACATTAGACCTTCAGTCACACAACATGCAAAAGTCAACTCAAAACAGATTAAAATTTAAGGACTGAAAATGATACTAATATAAATATATATGTATATGTATATACATATATATTTATATATTTATAGGAAAGCCTCCATGGCACTGGACATTTGAGGTATTCCTCTAAACACACAAGCAACAAAAGCTAAATGGACAAATGGGATATATTTCAAACTAAAAGCCTTCACACATCAGAGGAAATAATTTACAGAGAAGAGGGATAACCCAGAGGATGGGAGAGAACATTTGCAAATTGCACAACTGACAAGGAGTTAATATCTCAACTCCTGCACAGCAAAGGAATGCAGAAAATTCCGTGACAAGGACACATGCTAATTAAGAAACAGGCAAAAGCACAAATAGACATTTCTCCACATGGAACATCAGTACGGCCAATGATAGGAAGATGAAAACTAAGTATAGTGAGATACAGATTACAGTCACAAAGACAGGCCTCCTCATGCCTGTTAGGAGAGCCGATTATCAGATGGCTGGAGCGATAACCCAGGGGCCAGAGTACATGTTACACTTGGAGAGGATGGGCTCTGATTTCCCAGCCCCCACATGGCACACACACAGACATGCAGCCAAAAACAGTTATAACTGTAACACATATGTACATATCTATTTCCTTATATATAATATTATATAAGTAACTAATAAATATTCAAGAGGTGTCCGTTTTCAGAAAGGAAAAACAACATGGAGAAAGCACATTACTGGAGGGAATATACATTACAACTAGAATTGGTACATGATGCAGCAATCCCACTACTGAGCAGAGACACAAAAAGGAAATAAAATCGGTATCTCTGGTGACATTTACACTCCCACATTTAGCCCAGCATAGTTTACATAGCTGTGATATGTAACCCTACAAAGAGATGGATGGACAAAGCAAATCTAGATTGAGTTCACGAACACAGTGCAACGATATCCAACCATTTCCCAAAATATGGTGAACATGGAGAATAACAAGGGAACTAAGCCAAAGTCAAAAAAGACAAATGCTGGAGCTGGAGAGATGACTCAGAGGCTGAGAGCTGGGATGGCTTTTCCACGGGTCGGGAGTTCAGTTCCCCGACAGCTCACAAATGCCAGTAACTGCAGCTCCAACAGATCCTCTACATCTGCTCTCTGAGGGCATCAGTTTCACATACACATAACTACACACACAGGATTTAGGATTCAATGATAATTACCTGTCAGGGTGTTCTGTGTTGTGTGGGTTGGTCAAAAAAGAGGTCAATCCAAGATGAAATTTTAAGGCCTGTGTGGCGGAAGGAAGGCCAGCCTCTGATGAACTGAACCCCCTAAATATGTACAAGTGCACATTTATTTATTGCTACATAGAGTTGCTGAATCTGAAAGCGTCAGCTCATAGGAAGAAATAAAATGGTGGGTGATGGGGGTGTGAGTGGCTGAGGCTGGATGGGCAGCATCCTGGTTGAGGGTGGGAGATGTAGACACATAATGGAGTTGGGAAGATGCTGACCCAGGGCTACAAAATGCCAGCTACGCAACACAAGTTCCAGATACATCATGCAACTCAGTGACGATGACTAATGGTTTTAAAAAAATACTGGGGGAGTAGAAATTATGTGTGCTCACTACAAAAAAAAAAAAAAAATGACAGGTACTTTGATCGTCCCAAAGTACATAAAGACTCTAAATTATCATGCTAGACACAATACGAAAACATTTCATCTAGAACTTTTAAAGAATCTGTTGTTCATTAGCACGGTTTAGTTTCCTTGTCTTTTGAGGCAGGGTCTCACTCTAGCCAGCCTGGAACTTGCTATGTGGGCTAAACTGACCATGCACATACAGAAATCCTGCTGCTTCCGCCTCGCAGTGGTGAGGATAGAGTGTACACCGTGAAGCCTAGCTTTTTGTTGTTGTTCTTAAGCAACTTTCTTTAAAATACAGCCCCTAATCACATTATTTCTAACACTCCCACTCACCCTTGTACTACAAAAAACCTGAATGAACAACAAAGAACCACACTAAACAACAACTAAAACACACCAGGCTGTTATCATACGGCTGGCACCGCACTAACAGGCTTTACAACTGTCATTCGGAGGTTCATGACAAGGCAACAGAGCCAGAAGGGAACAGAACCAAGTCTCCAAACCACACACCACCAGGCCACGTCCCCAACACATTCCACCACAGCATCGCACATCTGGAGCTGGCCAGTATTGCCCGTTTTCACACAGGCACCCTGAAAATTACTAGCTCTCAAAGATACCAAATTTTGTACTATCACTTTCTATTCCGGAAATGCTTGGAAGTGAACAGAAATCGTCTACCACCTCCATACTTCCCCTGTTTTGAAAGGAAGAGGCCTGTAAAGATCAAAGGCTACAGGATGCGTGATGCCAACGATTGTAATCGATTTAGCACATCAGAGTTTGAAAGCCCTAATGCAAACCTCCAGAGATCCCTACCTATAACATCTTGGGGAAAGGGAGTGATTGTGGAGAGATGTCAAGGATCTCAGAAATGATTACATGAATATTAAGTGGAAAAGGAGTGGACAATGTAAGCACAATAGTGGAGGGATGGACTTACACATTCTATGCTCACTTACTGACAATTCTATATTCCACAACTAAACCTCATTTCTCAAACACAATGAAGAGCAAACTCACTCTTGAATCTTACATGTGTAGCAATAATGTTCGCATTCTTCACCAGGCCCTCCTTTTGAACAATGGCAGACTTGGGGAGCATGAGCCAGCATGGGCTCCCAGACTACACAGCCTAGCGAGCACTTCCTTCACTTCCCACGACACTCGCGATGGCTCCAGCTCTGAGAAATGATGGACTCAACAAGTAGCTGCCCTCCTAGGCGGCCCTGGGCGGCCCAAGCTCAAGCCTGGACCCCAGGGACAGCTGCCCTCAGACTGCGTCCCTGACCTCTGGTTCCTGAAGCCTGGTCCTCTGCCCTGTGACCGTGAGAGAGAGCAGGAGCAGAAAGCGACAGCACAGTGACACCGACGATCAGAGCTCGAGACGCGCGTGCAACTCACACGCACACACACACACACACACGCACACACTCATGTACACATGCGCTCGCGCCCGCACACTCAGGCACACACACACACACCACACTCAAGCACGCACAGACACAACCACCGTCCACACCCACACTCAGTCCTCTAGCTCCAGCCTCAGTGGAGAATTACGACAAACACAGATTTCTTCTGCCAACTAGAAAGCTGACCTTCTGCCTTAGCGGCCCCAGGCTGCCAGAATTGGATGGCTGGCTTCTGGCGCAGTGGCCCCTGGGAAGTACAGTCCTGGTTTCTAAGATTCTAGGGAGCCTGCGGCTTGCAATTCAGAGAAATCCCAGCATGCAGCTTGCGCCAGTGCATCCCAGAACTGCACCCAGTGGTTTGTGGGAGTTCCCAAAGGGGTGGGCCCTTAAAGGGGAGGCTTCCAATGAAAGAAATAGTTTGGCCCTGAAACCAGAGCCAACTCTGTCCCTGACTAATTAAAATAACCAATCCCTAAGCAGAAAATCTTCTCCCTGGGAAAACTCCACCCCTGAGATGCACCATATAAGCTCTTGCCTGTTGAGCTCTGGGCTGTGCTTTCCCACCCTGGCAGAGGCACCCACTCTCCTGGACTCCTCCTTCCCAAATAAATCTATGAAACGAGTCAGGGGTGAAGATCTTCATTCACCCGTGCAGAATAGAAGAATCTTGCTGAGATCTCATTAGGGACCTGAGCAGAAAAACCTTGCAGAGACATTCCCTGAGGGGGGACTGAGCAAGGCTGAGCAGAAATAAGGTAACGATTCTCAGAGCCAGAGGAGAT